TACAAATCAAAGTCTTGAGGTCCTTAGTAATTTTAAAAGGATTATGAGACCAAAAAGCTTGAGAACCATGGGTTGATACTAGCATCTACTTTTAATTGAAAAAAATGGAATCAAACTACATCTATTATTACACCTTTCCTTATCACTTAACAATATACCTTAGACAGTAATGGTAAGAATAGCAACACTAACTGAGTACTTATTCTTTATGAAGTCCTGTGCCAAGTGCCTTGCACTTATATTATTATAATTTAATAATAATTAAATTATTCCATTTAATTCTTACACCAATCCTATGAAGTAGGTACTCAACTAGTACCCTGGTATTACTGTTGCAGGTGATTGGAAGATCACCTTCTCAGAACTATGCATTAGCTATGCAACCTTGAACAAGCACCTACATCAAGGGCTGTTATGAGCATTAAGTGATTTATATTTGTAAAGCACTTAAAATAATACCTAGAACATAATAAACACTGCAAATAAGTTCATCGGCATTCAAACCTCTGAGTCTAAATGTCATTTTCCAGAGTTGTAGATGGTAACCAAAAAGGCTTAGAACAGGCCAGGAAACACTTCAAATTTGGCAAGTTAGGAAGATGAGGAGAAACTAGCCAGGAAGACTGAGACTTCATGAGGACTAAGAAGCATGGTTTCCTGAAAGAAATAAAATGTTTTAATAAGCTTGTGATGACCTGTGTCAAATGAGAGGCCAGGATAGCAAAAGAGGTAGAGCTGCAGAGAGAGGATGAAACAAGGGTCAGGTATAATGACTCAGAGGTCTGTAGAAAACTACTGCAAGGAGGAGAAACAGGTGGTAAGTCTGAGAGCCTATGGTCAGCTTTCAAAGGAGCTATACATTTTAGGGAAGAGAAGAAGATGATGATTTAGACCAAGGAAGGACCAAGGAAGACACTACCCCACATTAGCCTTTATTTTGCCTCTCTCTTACCCCCCAACTAGGTCCCCACCAAAATCTTTAAGTTCACTGACTCTTCACCCCTCAGATCCCTATTCAGTGAGTGCCATCTAAGACTCATCTCCTCAGACTAGCAGAGTCCCAGGTCAGTCAAGGGTTCTAGTAGGAACTGATTAATCCCAGGGATGCTTTAGAGGCTTGTACCTACCACAGGGGAAACTCAGACTACAGATAAGCAAAGTAAATAAAAATTTGATGTCTGCCCCAAAATACATCTACTCACTTCAGGATTCTCCACATCAGCAGTTCTAAATAGGGGACAAATGTCTAAAGATGTTGGGGGAAGCAACAAGCGAGAAGACAACTACTGCATCTAGTGGGTAGAGGCCAGGGATGCTGCTGACCATCCTACAATGCACAGGATGCACACAACAAAGACAGGTGGCCTCAAATGTCCAGAGTGCCAAGGCTGGGAAACCCTACCCTAGACTCAGTGACCTGGGGTAAGATGATCTTTAAGAAGGTTCTCTTATCTAGGCACACAATCCCATCCATACCAGGGGCCAGATGGAGCATGGTTTAGGGGCCAGACTAGTCAGTCTCATGAATTCTATCTCCAATCAACTCAAACAGGACCAGGGAAGGATAGAGGAAAAACTTGAGGTTAGCTCATTGGTAAAAGTTAAAAAGAGAAAATAAATTGTGCTATATACCAAATGTTAACAAGAGAGACAAAATTCCTTTAAATGAAAACAAGCAAACAGATTTTTCTTTAAGTTAAGAAAGCAGAAAATACAACTCTTTTCATTTTGAATATTAAATAACACCTTATAGTGAAGTTCAAAAGCCACCATGCTTTCTTAGCTCTGCTTGCTGCCAAACACTCTTCAACAAGGAAGGTGCTCTTGTATTCTTGACTGCAAAAGGAAGCTAATTTAAGTGGGTTTTTTTGAGAAAACATCCTGAGAGTTAAAAATAATTAATGTCTTGCTTTTAAAAAAGAAACCATGAATCTTGACATAAATGAGCCTATGTTTTCTTTTCTCATCAATAGTTCACTTGGAGGATCAATATTTGGATCCACAACCATCGACAGTTAGCCTTCCCAGAAATCCATTCACTCTCTTTCAGGATAAATCACTAATTAACAGTTTTTAACGGTTTTTAACAGTTTTCCCTTTCTTTTTTTTTTTTTTTTTCAGTTTTCCCTTTCTTAAGAGATTTCCAGAGAAATGTTTTAAAGAGTCTACTTTCTACATGGAAGGCATTTTGACTCTACCATTTGTTTCCACTTTAAAATCTGCTCTAGGAAAGTTTCAACTAATGCATATGGGGTAGGATGGCTGTGTCTTAATGAAAAATTAGGTCCTTCTGCCCTCAGGCTTTATCAGCAGGCTGCCTGGAATCCAGTGTGCTGTTTTATCAAAGGAAGCTTTCCAGCAAGACGGCTTATGTGCATGCTGTTAAAGGAGTACCCCTCAGTGAAGTCCTGTCTACGCACGACCCGTGACCTAAGAAGAGTCAGGACTGACCAACTATCTCCTTCAGGGCTGGGGCCAGCTGCAGCTTTAACAGAGGGGGCCTCAGTCTTCCCTCCTCCACTTAGGGTTCTAGGAGCTTCTGAAGGAAAGAGTATTTTGGATATTTCTCTTCAAAACACATTTCTACCATGTCTGACAGTGTCCTTCACAGGACTGTTACAACACTGGGGCCCGTATCTACTGGACGCTCCAGAAACCCAGTCAAAAGACAACATGTTGGTATTCTAATAATATGACAGATTTTTTTAAAGAAAAGTAACCCAAGAAACATATACATATAAATATAGATATACACATGTATGTGTGTGTGTGTGTGTATATATATATATATATATATATATATATATACTTATACACATATGAAAAGAGACTAATTGATTCATTCAAGGAAAGGAAATCAGAAATATCTCAAAATGCTCATCAGAGGAACACTTCAGCAAATTGAAGACATAATTATATAATGGAGAAAAAGTAGGGCAAAAAAGGGAAGCATATCTATTATATGTCAGGTGTGTTCACATTATGTCACTTCATTCTCCCCATCACTCCCTCAATTATGCTTTTAGACAAGAATCATTATTCCTGATTTACAAGACAAATGAAGAGCCCATGAAAGGGGAGAAAGCTGCCCTGAGTCACAAAGCTAATGAAGAGCGAAGCTGAGATTCACTTGCAGGTTTTTTTACTCTCTGCCCAGCATTTATTTTATTGGATCCCAGATTTACCCCTCCCCCCGCCCAAGATCTATTTGTAGACTATGTCAATAAATGGAATTGCAAATATAAAATAATGTTAAACAAAAATTAAACCACAGTATAGATGTATTGGTTTTAATCATGTGAAATTTTATATGTATATACTAAAAATGATGACAATCAGAATGAGGCTGATTGAAAAAAACTGGAATTAAAATCATTTGAGTTTGTTTTTCCTATGAAGTTGCTTAAGCATATAATAAAGAAAATCACCAGAATCTGTTCCTCCATGCATGCTTGTCCCAGGCTAATTAAGGTTAAGAAAAGGCAATAAATATAAAACACCTTGTTAAAGGCTGAATGTGCCAGGGCCAGTTTAATGTAACTGGGCCACTTTCACATAGAGAAATACCCTATCCTTCATAAAATTCTCAGCTCTTTCAGGGACTGGCAGTGTTTCTTCACTATATTAAAGGCTGGAATTTCTGCAAGTGAAAAAGCTTTGAGAGCAAGTCATGTCTCTACAGAAATCGCCTTTTCTAAAACTTAGCACTTATACTATATAACAAACATTCTTTCAGTTCTTCCTTCAACAAAAAGAATTTAATCCTGGGAGGTTCCCTTTGCAGTGGCTTTGCCTAAGAAACATCTGTCACCTTCAGTCAAGGTAGAGTTATTTTGGAATCTCCCTCCTCTGACCCTCTCTTCAGGTCTGGTGGCTACACTGCTGTTTAGTGGAGTAGCCAGAACCCAAGCCAGAAGCATGGGTCTCACTTGTGTCATTCCATTATGCTGTAACTTGCAGAAACAACCAGGGGCGATCCTGAAGTGCAGACTCCCACTGCCAAAGAGTAACTGAGAATTTACATGGATAATACCGGTCCAGAGACAAATTGAGAAAGGGTTCCCCGGGTTTACACAGTCCTGCTCTCAACCCAAAAGCTGAGACCTGTGCAAGACACCACTGTTATCTTCCCTCATGTTTCTTTTATTTTTATAATGGGCAATTTACCTATACCTAAGTAAGTAAGACAGTAAAGGAATGAAATGTTGACAAAGGCTTTCTGAGACTGTTTTTCAAAAGAAAATAGTTTATAAATACAATCCCCACTGGTGTCTGTTTCTTTATGAAAAGAATTTCTTACTGTAAAAAAAGAAAAAGTAGAAGTAAAAGTCCCTCAACTGGTTTCCCTTAAAACCACTGTTTTTATTTAAAGTTACATAATAATAACCTCCTTTGGTTCACTTTTGTTTTAAAACTCTCACCTATTTCCTCTCTTATTATGTTGACTACTATTAATAAAATGTCTTGATTCAAGAACCTAGGAAAATGCTTGAAATGACTTTAATAAGATTAGATCATAATGTTATTAAATTTGAGAGTAGCAATTTGAGCCATAGTTTATTCAAATCGTCCTAACAACTAAATACAAAAAATGTCAGTTAGCTAAAATGGCTGATCTCATTCTTGGCTTCTGGCTACAGCCCCAAAGGTCTAATAACAAGGATATTTCTTTAACAGGCTAGTCATTCTATTAAAAGCCTTGCATGTATTATCTCATTTAATCTTCACCACGATCCTAAGTAGTAATCATTATTATTAGTGTGTTGCTATTGCTAAAGTTATTGTTATCCCCATTTTATGGATGAGGAAATAGGGCACAAAGAAGTTGAGTAACTGGTCCGAGGTCACTCGCTGACTAAGCTGTGGTTAGAAGAGAACCCCAGCTCCCATGGGAGCAGCACTCCACCAGTGGTACTATCTGCTATGGTCTCGCTCAGTGGACTCCTCCTTCTCTAGGTCAGGTGCATTGCCGCTGCTCCCAAACTCCACTGCACACTCACATCTCTCATCATTTTCACTGCTTCTCTGGTCCTCCCAAGTCTTCTGGCACACATGGCTAGTCTTCTTTTGATGTAGACCAAGACATTGGTGTCTCGTCCTGAAGAGGGAGACATAAAACATGAAAACTTTAAAAAAAAAAAAAAAGAACTTTCAGCTGAGCAGCAAGAAAAAATAAAAATACAGAAATACAGAGGCGTGTTTTCCATGCCCTTGAAGGAAAACCTCAGAGAACAGTCTGCTTCTCTGACTTTTCCTTACTGGAGGTGCACTGACAACTTTGCTAATTGCAGAAGGTATACAGAGTGAAGTCAAAGCACTTAGCCTCCAAGGTCAAAGCATGTGACTGATTGTTAATCCATGCTTTTGAGTTAGGATGTTGAATATTCGATAAATAAAATCATCTGCCACAAAGTGCTGGGAAAATGGACATATCCACATTGCATGCGGTTTACAAGCAAAAATTCCACATTCTTCTAGTGTGCATGCCTTTGGCGAAGATGCAAAAGGTGAATCTCAGGTTGCATCCTGATGAACTATTATTTCTTTCCTTCTTGACAATAAGTCTAGAGAAGCCTCATCTTGAACTTCTGTTTTATATTATTCTTTCCCTAACACTAGTGACATCATAATCATCTCCAGGTCCCCAAAGCAGTCAATTTCAGATGGCAACATAACACATTCCAGATATGACAACAGACTATGCAACAAAATGAAAAACTATCCTAGTGTTAGAGAAAGTATTGACAAGCTAAATAGTTGTAATAATAGTCACCAAAATGGCTCTTAAAAAGCACATTAACAACTTCTCATCTTAATCTATTTAATTATGTGTCTTTTTGGATATGTTTTCAGACCAGTGAGAACATGCATGTACTTAATCCTCAATAAAATTACCATGTTTTAGAAAAATATGACACACCTGTTATAGATTAAGTATATGTATAATACACAGCTATTAAAAGATGTTAAGACCAAAGTCCTAACATTTCAAGTTTCAAACAATGAGAACAAGATGTGTGTTGAAAATTTGCCAGATACCTACCAATTATTTTAAAGATGTGATTATATTTTTGGATAGATTTGGGCAACAGTTTGAAAGGATTAATTTACAGAAGAAAAGAAATAAAGACAATTTCTCAAGTTATATTACAGATTTTGTAATTTTATGTATTAATCCTCATTTAGTTCACAAAACAGACATTTACTATATATGTCTACAAAAGTCACTGTTATACGTATTTAAAAAAAAAAGCAAGCGAGACATGATGATTAGAGACTTGATTAACATATACACTGTGCTTAGTTGCTCAGTTGTGTCTGACTCTTTGCGACCCCATGGACTGTTGCCCGCCAGGCTCCTCTGTCCTTGGGGATTCTCCAGGCAAGAATACTGAAGTGGGTTGCCATGCCCTCCTCCAGGGGATCTTCCCAACCCAGGGATTGAACCTAGGTCTCCCACACTGCAAGTGGATTCTTTATCGTCTGAGCCACAACATATACACTACTACAGAATAAAAATAAAAACCTGTGCATTGAGGGGTTATATGGACACATTTACATGTACACGGGCCACAACGCAAAGATCTCACTGTACCTTAGCCATAGGGACTAATGCACTCAGTTTCTGCACCAAATTCAGGCTTAACAATAAAACTTAATTTTATAATCTCAAATATGAAGGAGATACACTCCTACTCTCCAAGACGCAGGAGAGAGAAATGAGTTGAGAGAAATATCATTTTAAAGAGACACTTCCAAGTTTGGTTAGACAATGAAAACATTCTCTCTCACAAGGATCACTAAATTTCTTCTTAAACAACCAACAAACTGACAAGACAAGGAGCTCAAGGAATTCCAGAAATGACTTTGTTATCTTGTTTTTACACCATTTCCCCCAAACATCACTGACTCTCAGTTTAGTGTACTAAAATGAAAGGTCTCATGTTAAAGAGTTGTGTTAAATATAGGAAGTCATCACTTTAAACATAAAAAAGATAAATAATTAGGAATTTAGGACTCTTCCTCCCTAGAAGCCAGCAACAGTGCTTCCTAAACGATAGCTAAATACTAAGAATCACCAATTGCTGTTAAATTCTTAGCTGTCCTATTTCAATCCATGCTGTAGAAGATGCATGAGATAAACCTCTGATAGCATTAATATAAGTTTAAGTCCTTTTTGCCAACTAAGACTTAAAATTATGGGGCAGAGAAGCAACTGGTATATAGAACTGTGTAAGAATTCTGAGGAGAAAAAAGGTTCACTGTTAAAGGTTATTATCATTTATTTCTAGAGTTAAATATCTATGGGACAGAAAGAAAACATGAACAATAATGAAACTATAATTTAATTATGTACTGTGCTCTTATGGAGAAGAAAAATTAATAAAAACAAAGAAAGGCCAAAAACTACATTTATACTAAACTCAGAAAATCGTATTTTGAACTGGCCTGAAAATTTGCTCTGATTAATCATGTTACAATTCTGATCCCCCAACACATCAACCTGGAGGAAGCCTTACTGTGTTGGGCTTCATACTGGGATCCATGATGCTGCAGCTGCTGAGAACGCCGGTAACAGCCATCTCCAGCTTTCAGGGCCTGCTTAAACAGCTTCTCTGCTTCAGCAATGGTTGTTGCTTCTTCTTCAGCCAAGAGAATATAAGCAGTTGCACACCTGTCCATGCAGATAACAGCAGTCATCAACTACAAATCCAGGGACATTGTAACAGCTGGAGGAGTGCATGCAGAAGGGCAGGAGTTAACACCAAAACATGCAGAGTGGCAACTGGTTCATGCACCCCTGTTTGCAGTTGTTGACATAAAATAATGGTACAAAAGAAACGTCCATGTTTTAGCTTGAAAGGGAGGATGAGTAGTGTTAGGAGCATGGGGCTTATACATGGACTCTGCCCCTGATTATTGTGTCACTTGGGGCAAGTTATTACTCTGCCTTCCTGATGGAGAACAACACGGAATCTACTTGTTCACAGCACTGTTGTGAAGGTTAAGTAAGGTGATGCATGAAAAGTGCTCAGTACAGTAGTAGCCAGCATGTAGTACATGCTTAATAATGACAACTAATGATGGCAATGGTAATAGCTGTTGTTAAACACTTCCTTCTGACACTCAAAGTTAGAAATACCAGAAAGCTTACTTCTATTTACTACACACAGATTCTCTTTAGTCTTAGGATTTATTCAGAATGAGAAATTCATTAAATCAAGTAAGTTGTTTCACAAGCAGTGCTTCAGCATCTCATTATGGTTAGCACTGGTTTCCTATGTCGGAGAAGAAGCCTAGAAGAACCTACAGGTAGAAATTATTTCAGAAGAGCTCAAAATTTGATTCAGCCTCAGTAGCAAGCAAGAGTTAAATTTCATACCTTTAACAATTATAGCTACCACCTGATGCTTAGTATATATTAAGGACTGTACCAGGCACTTAACATATATCATCTCATTTAATCCTTTCAACAACCTCTGACGTAGAAAGTCAGAAAGGATAAATAGTCAACTAATGAACAAGGGGGACTCTTGAAAATTTAAACCTTCCAAATCATAGAAGAACAACTCAACTGCCAAAGAAAGGAAATGTGATAAGGAAATGGTGAGGCCAGAGCAGACCACACAGGTCCTGATCTGTAATATCCCTTGGCTTTCTCCACTGCCTCTCTCGTGGTCATTTCCCTATTTATCAGAGCCTTCAACAGACCACAGGAGAGAAAAACAGAAAGGGAAACCAAATGTTACTTCTACTATTCATAAACTACAACAGCCAGCTAGGAATTGGAGGCTGAATTCATGACTAATATGAGATTTGGGGTTACTAATTAACCTCAGCCTTGAGGAGGGGTCTTGTAATTCTTTAGCCAATCCCTATAAATTCAGGCAGGACTGATCAATAGGGCTTTAAACTGAATGTGGTGAGGTAGGGAGGAAAAATACCCAGGAAAAAAAAAAAGTTGTAAAACCAATTACTGTGGAAGGCAGCAGATATGACTTGGAGAGAACAATTATGATGCTGAAACTGCCCAGTAATTCACTGGAGAAAATAAGTGGGTTGGGCAATCAGGAAGCAATACTTCACGTTTTAGGTGCCGACATATAAATATGGGTCCAGGGTTATAAAGTGAAAATTGAGATTATAATACTGAGTGGTAGACACAGTATCTGAGGAATTAGCTATAAGATTATAGTTGGTGGGCTGGGAACTCAAGACAGGTTGGGGCTAGCCTGCTTGCTTTGCTTATTTATATTGCAAATAGCTCTCTTAGGAGGAGAGGCAGAGTAGCACTACTGGCCAAGAAAACATACATCTATGTGGAGACTCATGAGTCTGGTGTAGAAACATGCTAAGAGTTTATGGGTGAAGGAGAAAGGAAAGAGCAGTAGAAGTGCTAATGGTTGGTGGGGACAGAACAGACTGCTCAGCTCAATGGAAGATAGAGATGATGTGTCCTTGTCACAACACAATACACATACAGAAGCAAGAAAGTATGGTGATGGGGGTGTCAACCATCCAGCTATCTGCTAGAAGACGTCTCATTTGGTTAGAAGGAGGGCACTTAAGAGGTTCTTGACTTACTTTGGTAACAATTTTATCTCCCAGATGGTAGAGGAAGCAATTAGGGGAACTTCAACTCTGGACCTAATTCTGACCAAGAAGAAAAAAATAGTTGGTGAAATGAAAATTGATAGGAACATTCAGAGAGAGTTACTATGTCATTTCAGAGTTTAGGATAGTAAAAGAAGGTAAGGTGGACTTCAAAAAATTCAAAGAAAAGAGGCATGATTCAATGGCATGAGACGCAGAAGGCAAATGGTTTAAGAGAGTTGGCAACTTCCAAATGTCTAATCATAACTGCAATCACAAATGACCCTCTCAGGAAGAAAAGAGGGGTGACAAGTAACCACTATGGCGGCACAGAGGTCGCCCACAAGATCATACTTTTAAAGGACATGTAAAAAAAGATGGAAAGAGGGTATGTGATGAAGGGCTATAAGAGAGTGAAATGAGCTTATAAGAATAATGTCAGGAGAGCTGCAACTTCACATTAGCTGAAGCTCTCAAAACAAAATAAAAGCAAAATGAAAAATGCTAAAGACAACCATCTATTCCCTGTTTTCATATTATGTTTAAGGCCCTGTAACCACCCCAACTTCTCCAAAACCATGACAATATAAATAAGCAAAAAAGACAAACAACACAACAATGTCAAAACGAGGAAAGTTTATAGTTAGTAGCAACAGATAATAAAGAGAAAACAAAACTCTCTAACTCCTATTTTCTTCCTGGTTTCTCCATCAGGAAGAATGATTGTCAGGCTGACAAAGGGAGAAGAAATTAAACTCTAAAACGAATTAAAAAGATGTAAGATAGCACATAACTGATCTATGCTAAATGAATTACTATACTGGGATGGGCAAATCCCAGAAAGCCAAAAGATCTTGTAGGCAGCCCAGAGAATTGCTCTCTGTGGATTGTTAAGGAATCACAAACAACGGAGAGGTACTAGAAGATGAAATGACAAACATAGTAAAAATGTTCAAAAAGGGGAAGAAGGCAGGCTTCCCAAACTACAGAACAATTTGGTTCTGATTTGGAAAGATATTCTAATGGATTATTAAAGGGATAGTTTCTAGGCATTTTAAAAAGAAAGTAGTGAATGCTGGAAGCTAGCTTAAATTCACTAAGAATAAATAAATCAGGCTGTGTTAATCTAATGTACTCTAATGGATTTACTGCACATTAAAGATCCACAGCTACAACTGGTATCTCAAAATGCAGAAATATAGGCTGAATCATGGTGTAACTAGGTGGCTTAGTAATTGGTTGTACAATAAAACCCAAAGAATGATGATTCATGAAAACATGACTCCAGAGGGTGGTTTCTATATGTAGGGTCACAGGGCTCTTTCCCTGGTCCTGCCACTTTTATCAGAAACATGGATGACACATAGAAAGCAGGCATATCAAATTTGTAGATGACAAGAAACTGGAAAATAAATATGTTGCATGACAGAATCAGAAACCAAATAGATCAACTGGTTACACTGGCAGGATTTCCAACTCTCAAGTGAATCTTTTCACTAAGACCTCTGAAGATTCTGTACCCTTCTTCAGAAAAATCATAAAATAGTTTAACAATGACCACTTGGCAGGGAGAGTGTTGAGGTGATTCAAGCACCAGATGGGTGTTTGAGTTACATGACCTTTAAGGCCTCTGCCAACCCTGAGCTTTTATGACTCCAGTTTTAAGAATCTCTCATTTTCTGACATCTCCAGACGAGAGTCTCCAACCTTCCTTGGTGATCCACAGAATGTTTAACAACACTAAGGACATCATTTCCTCCTTGTCTTGATCTTGAAATATTTTTAAAGTGTTAATTTCTTCACTTTATGTTTTTACTATTTTCCCCCAAGCAGAAGATCTACTTAGAAAATCTGATGGCACAAATGAGCATTCTATGTCTGGAAAAATGTCCCTGTCATAATGTGTTAGGTATGAAAGCACTGTATTTATTTTATGTCCACACAGTATTCCACGGCTAGCCCTTAAATGATTTAATTTAGGACCATAGCAAAGCCACTAAATTGTTCTCTAAAATGACTAAAACTACCTTCACATGGATATCCTTTAAATTTTTTTTAAATAAATTAATGCCCCCAGAATAATCCTCAAGTTCAAATACATAGTTTAGTGCAAGTATCCCATGAAGGGCAACTGAAAACATTCAGCAAAGCAAGATTTCCCCCCACTTACTCATTTATCTCTAAGGCTTCGTGGGCAGCAGAAATCCTAGCTTGGGGGTTTCTCTCTCTCCAGGCTTTCTGCATTACTATTTTAGAAAAAAAGAGAAGAAGTCAATATATACTCAGGAAGATTCAGTACAAGAGCTAAATTAATAGCTTTCCTCTTGCATTACAAAAGAAGAGTTCACTTACCGAGTGGGTTAGCCCAAAACTCTAAAGTCACACAAATACATTCTAATTTGCTATTCCATTGTCCTTCAACAGCTGATATAAAATCTTTCTTAGGATCATAAAACTAGAGACCTAATATCTTATATACTAACCCATAGTCTATAATCATAGAGACTTAATTAAGATGTCTTAATCTGGGAGACATGACCGTTCATTCTGTCTCAACCAAGGATTTAGTTAGCTTCATATAAGAGCTATACTTCTTAAAAGTAAGTAAATCCAACTTTGGTATATGTTTTAAAAATAACATTTTCAATTATAATGAGGGGACTCATGTCTACAATAACACTTCATGGCAATGAAGCCAATAAAGTAAGCTTTATTTAAGTAGCAACTTTCTGGGTCTTACTGGTCAATCTCCAACTTAATATTTTATTCATCAAGGTTTTTGTAGAGCAGACATTCTAAAAGTAGTAACCTTGATCTCTAAAACAAGCCAAAAGCCCTTCCACTCAGTAACTATCTAAAGGATTTTCCATACTTGCATCTGCAGGACGCAGATGGTCGGAGTCACAGGTAAAGAAGGTCTGGTGGTCCTGGGCAGAGAGATTCATATCATAGTAAGTCAGAGGCTCTCGTCCAGTCACCCAAGTGTACCTATAAAAGAGAAGTAAGATGATCAGACACTTCTGAGAGAGGAAAGCAAGACCTACAAAATATTAAGCTGCATAGGTGTTGAACTATAACCCATTAACTAAGTACTACTGCCAATATTAAGAACAAAATAATCATGCTAGTCTCATTTTAGGAAGTATATCAGCAGAAAAAAGTTAAAAAATTCTGCTATATTTTTGTCTTAAAATTTTAGTAGCACTAGCTAGTGAAAACCTTCCCTAATTAGTATTATGAATAGAGATTTCCCCAAAGCTATGAAAATTCTGATTTGCCTACTTATTCTACAAAATTAAATTCTAACATTACTTCTGGGGCACCTTTATAACCATGTTCCAGGTAAGCTACAAAATATTTTGACTTTATAATATATAATGAAAAAAATAACTAACAGAAAAATCTCTAAAAACAACAGGTTTGTATGTTTTCCTAAGTTCAAAGCTACAATATTTATAAAACAGAAAAATCAAAATATTTGAGCATCAAAAAATGGAAGTACTAAACAGACTGTTAAATGACCCCTAAATGAACCTGCAAAAACATCTACTGCTGTCTTTGCTCTCTGAACTAGACCCATTAATTTCCCAAGCTGTCAAAATGCTTACCGATTATATTCAGCACCCCTAAATAAATTAAGTGGATTTCGCCATACTTTGCATTCTGCAACAAAGAGAATGTGAAAATGTTACACATAAGTTCAGAGACACTACAAGCTAATTAATTCAGCAAAACACCCTTCCTGGCCATTTGATAAGATAATTTTATTTTCTATCTTCTACATGGGAAGTAATGTGGAAAAACTCTGGGTAGTTAATCAGGAAATGTAGTTCAGGCACCAGGACTTCGGAAAGTTTCACTTAATCTCTCTGGACTGAAGTTTCCTCATTTGTTAAATCAAGGCAAATGCCAAAATCAGCTAGTTCATAATTTCCATAGTCACTTCAAGAGATCAAAATACATTCTATAAATTTATTTCTAAATGATAGGTAGAGGGAAAACTACTTTCTACAACTCTAAAATATATCTTACAATGTCTACCTATGTAACAAGCTACATTTAAGCTCCAGAGTACAATGTGCAAAGAACCTCAGGCTCTTAATTAGGGCCTATGTTAATAATGATTTTGTGATAATTCACCATGTTGCTTTTATACTGCTGGAAAGGAGTGGCAAGAAAATTAATACTAAAGCTACCATCACTGTAGGGAGAAATGTTATGAAAAAAATTGTTTTCAAATACTTTACCATGGTTTACTTATGCAGAAACAGGTAATTAATCATCATACTAACTAATATCATAATGCTAACATGTACTAATAGATTATACATTTTGTTATACAAGAACCACAGGCAGAACCATAGGACTTTAATTTAGAAAAGCAAACCATTAGCTTTTTGAGAGTTATAGTAAATCTGTGACTAATAAGCTGCAATTCTTTTAAAACGGTCTATGATTAAGACTTTCTACTGATTCAGAATGCTATTAATATTACTTTGGATGAATAACTTTTTATTAGAAAATAAAATAAGTTAACAGTATTTAAAAATCCATGTGTGCTGTCAGCCAAAAAAACACACCCAAAGACAAAGACACACAAAAGTGAGCAATTATTGCAGAAACTGAAAGAACATTAAAGGCCATGAATGATTCATTAAGACTCTACCCTCAGTCCTGTTAAATTCAACACCCATCCATCCATTCATTCATCTATCCATCCATCCAATATATGAATACATTAACTGAGCACTCAGTGGGTGAAACAAATGCATAAACCATGGGTTACAATACAGCGTGAAAATGGAGGAAAACAAAAAGCATTTTGGGAACACCATGTGCAATCTCAATACATTTTTTAAAAATAGCAAATGAAAGGTGTACACATAATAGGAAGTCATGTTCTTATTTTCTAAAAAATAAATTTATCTTTAAATTAGGGCAAGATCCCACCTGAAATTTACTTTATGTTTGGAAACAATGGTCCTAAATTTTTTGTCACTTAGCTTAACTTGCCACTTAAGAAATGATCTTTGCTCAGTTAGTTTGGCATTATTGAATTTTGTTCTTGAGAAATTGAAATTCGATGGCTGTCATTTCATATGCCACTAATTAGAAAATTACACTTCCCTTAAGTAAATACTTTTTTTCCAGACATGAAGCTCCTTAGTGGGGTCACTAACGTACTTCAAATTATTGCTTGAAACAACTGGTGAGCCAAACAACCATGATCTCAGTACTTATGGCTGCTATGGCTCTGAGGTCCCCACCCCTCCCAACCTCTCCTAAGATGACGTCTTTTAAGATTCCAAATGCTCTTCTTAAATCTTCTGAAAGCTTCATGAATATTACAAGGTTTGTATTTAACATATAATAAAAATCTGTATTCAATGATGGTCATTTCTAACATTATTTACAATAAATAGGGACATTTTTAGAAGCCTCTCCCCTAACAAATTTCATCTGAAATATCAGTAAAAAAGTTATGGCAAAAATTTTGTCTCCATCAAAGACATGATATTGCTTGGGAGGATAAGTGCTATTCAAATATTAATTGACAAATTATAAAGAAAATTATCTTTCATTAAAATTTTAACTCTATTGTGCATTGGATGCAAATGAAATTATTTCTAAATAAAAATAACCCCAAAGAGAAAGGGTGAGTATAATTAAAGCTTTACTTGGCAGTATTTAAAGATGCCATCTTTATTTAGGAAGTGCCAAGGTATAGCCAGCAGGGGGTGCTGCAAACATTTTGAAATGTTTTTATGACTTCAAGAGTACTGATCTTGAAAAAAAATCATCATTACTGTTAGTGTCATACATATGGTCTGTATGCAGTTTCTTCAGCTACTTCTAAAACTTAGAAATGAGTGTCTGAGCAACTGTAACAGATGTTAAATGTTCTGAATGAGAACGAACGTGATGAAGAAATATGTAAGAAATGTCTTCATGAGCTGTATCCTTCAAGTTGAGGGTGCGGAGAAGGTACAACTTTCTTTTAAGATATAAGCAATCTAGAGGTCTAATATGAACACATGTAAAATTTCACTTCAAATTAGCTTAGAGCTACATTCGTTTCTTTTTTGCTGCTATGTTTCATGATTTTATCTTTACTACAAAAACTCTCTTTGTATGGAATCATTCTAGGGAACATACCCCATAAATTTCTGATGGTTTCATGATATAGACAAAGGTTGCAAATGTCAAAATTATCATAATATGAAGATTTAAGTCAAGAAATTAAACTCAGGTCTTCAGCAGATAAAAGATACAAGTAAGATAAGTAAGATACAAGGTTTGTATTTAACATATAATACAAAAAAATAAATTTTCCTTACCACAACTTTCCATCTCAGTGGATACTTATTTCCTGCCTCTTTATATTCCCCCAGAACCCTCCCCCACCCCGCCCCAGTTACTCACTGAACTAAAGGGTTTAAGCAGGAATAGAATGGCTATTATGCCTTAGTCTTATAGGAAGTCCTAGGTCCCCCCCAAAAGATACATTTTATGACCTAGACACACTTATACATTGGTAGAAAAAGAAAAAGGTACCAAACTATTGTCTGGTATCCATATGAAGAAGTTCTTATAAAAGGAGTAAATACACTGAGAGAACCATAGACTTTCCCTTGATCACAGTCCTTAAGTAAAAAGAGAACTTAATTCTTGGAAAAATCAAAAGTCATAGGGCTTTTAATCATCATAAGGAAGAAAATATTTTTCTATATCCAATTTCTTTTAACTCTGGAAACTTTTTTATCCTAAAATTAAAAATATAGACATAGAAAGAATCCTCACTCCTAGGACTTTCAAATATATAACTAATTTATAGTCTAGGAAGATGTACTATACTAAAATTTACCACCTCGTCCCTGGATCCAAAATGTAATGATGACAGTAACACCATTATAGTACAAAGAGTAGCAATAGCAACTTTGTTATAGCTATAAGCCTTTCTATAAAAAAGCTTGAAGTTCAAGTCATCTATATTCCTTACATAAGCTAATGAGGGTCACAAAGTAGTCCCTTTTTATATAAGTAAAGGGTAAAGCATAGAAAAGCTACATAATTTCCCCAAGGAAAAGTAAGTGAGATTAAGGCCTGGTATCCAGCCTGCCTAACAATTACCTACAATATACAACAGACCTGTTCCCCTGCAACATCATATTTTAAAAATCCTGTGACTTCATCAATTACATTCTCTACTAGAGAAATAATTTTGGAACTCCTCTAGGGAAATATTAGGCACTTGAAAATAATACTTTAAAATATTTTAGTTCCAAAGTACAACAGAAAAGGGCTCTAAATAATGTTCCATCAGATATGACAATCAAGATAACCTCAAGTTAGTCAATTTCTAACATGTGATTCTGCATTTATTTATTAGCTTTGCTATATCAGAAATGAATACTCAGTGAATACAAGTCCATCTTAAGCAATCATTAATAACAAAATATCCATTTTCTTAAATAATTAAGCTTTAACTTTTCATAACTTTTTGAGATAATTATTTTGAAAAGATTACTAGAAGTAAAGGCACAAAGTATTAATAATATATAGGTAGCTTCCAATTCAACAAATATACTACCCTTTCAAATTCTTTTATGGAATGAGAAAAGGTACAAATAATTATGAGTTTTAAGATCATTTTTATTGACCTGCTTTACTCAAGACAGTGTACAACTTTCTTTAAGAATATTGCTTAAATGGCTAACCTCTGTGTCTCTCATACATTTCTCATTGGTTGGTCATTTCTGATCTAAGTCAATCAATTCTATCAAATGATATGAAGACCGTAAAATATTTATTAAGTAGATATTCACCAGGAGCCAAACGTGTTTTTGAGGAATTTTCACCAATCAACTGGAGAGCAAATCTATCCTAGAACACACATTTTTAATGGCAAAAGACTTTAAAAGATGTAATAAGCATTGCCTAAGAGAATAATTTTCAACACTTAAATAGATTTTGGCAAGTATAAACTGAGTTTCCCCTGATTGAGGCTATTAAAGAGCAATTCTAAAGGCCCTCGACATATAGCAACTTGAAATTTTACTAACAGATATATTTAAAATGCAAGCTCTGAAAGGCATGGTTTAGGATATATATTTACAATCTATGAGTTTCTTCATCTCCATTGCTTTTCTTTAATTTGTTACCTGTATTAAACCAGTGCTTGAACTGCCTCTAGTGATGTAATGAACCTTAATTGAGAATTCCAGGTGAAAGTCCTAGTAAAAGTTTTATATAAAAATGGATATGATATGGTATTCCCTAGCGGCTCAGTGGTAAAGAATCCACCTGCCAACTCAAGAGAAACAGGTTCAATCCCTGGGGTGGGAAAACCCCCTGGAGAAGAAAATGGCAACCCAATCCAGTGTTCTTGTCTGGAGAATCCCATGGACAGAGGAGCATGGCGGGTTACAGTACATAGGGTCAAGAAAAGATATGATATATATTTATCTTAAATAAAGTGAGATTAAAATGAGATGACTTGCAACAGTATGCCAAATGACTACAACCAGTTTGTCTAAAGATCCAGTTCTATGCCAGAGCCTATTAACGTGTCTCAGAGAATTTAAACTTGACTTTGACAAGGATAATTCTTATGTTATGGAGCACCCTGCACTTTTGTAAATATCTTGAAGAAGGTGAACAGTGCAAACTTTGTCTTTGTGGCATCTTATTTGAGAACAGGGAAAATTATCAAACAGATATTCCCATAAACCCAAATTCAGAATGTTCTTAGACCCTGAGAATCCCTTCCCTTAAGATAGGGAGAAGATGGACACATTTTAAATCCCTATGCATCATCAGTTCATAACTTAGGCTGAATTAAGCAATGGCAGCAAGAGTAAGTGTAAATACACACTGGATGCCATTAATAATTTTTATATTGAATGCATGTTAAAATGAAAATATTTAGACTTATTTGGTTTAAAAAATACACATTTCACTGTACATTTTTATTATTTTCATATGATTATTAAAAATGCTAAAAGTTACACTCATAGTTAGCATTATATTTCCATGAGACAGTGCTTATTTAGAGACTTAGTTGTGTCTAAGTAGTTTTGTGCAGCTAGGTCATTTGGAAAAAGGATGAAAGTAAACCATCTAAATTTATTCAAAAGAACATGTCAAATTATGAAAGAGGAGACAGGAATAAATATATTCAGCTTTCCTTTGTATAATTCTGATCACAGGTTATTAATTATGCTATTAGATGTAATGAATTTTTTAAAATGGCTACAGGAAACATGGTGATATGGAAAATACATCAGCAGGGTTTATCAGAAATTGTGTATTTGTGACAAAAATACCCATTTAGCTCCCAAATAAATTGAGACAAGTAAAATGTCACAAATGCTAACCTAAGCCAAACAATCAGAAATTTGGCTAGATTAAGAAGCTGTATTATTAATTATACATTTCTGCTCTGGTCCATAAATAAAGATCGCTGCAAATTTTGAGAGGATTTGCACTTGAGCCAATTTACACAGATCCAAATGTTAAACAGCATATGAACAGTCTGTCTTATAACAATCACTTCCCATTTCTCCACTGCAAATTATTCTTAGGTAGGCCAGGTCATTCAGCTTTTAATGAAACAAATGATTCTTTAAGGAAAGAACTATACTATGAGTTTTTATATAGTCCAATGTTTATATAAATAGTATTCTCTGTTTCAGCTTTCTGAATGATTTTTTTCAAATAAGGAATACTATTTAACTCCCTTTGCCAATGTTCATGGGACTTGGTTAGCCATGTTTATTTCCTATAGTATTCAGCCAAGAAATGTCTTATAGTGATTCTTTTATTAAAGCAATAGTAATTTTATTATTATTAAAGCAGAATAATTTTGAAACAAATTCCTCCATTTCAATAAAATATATTAATTACTCTCAGCTTTGGATCTTCTTTTTCCTTTATACTTGGCTGAAACCAAGACAATGAAGTAGACAATCATTAAGGGCAGAGCTATAGAGAGACAACATACTTTCATATAATAGCATTTTTCTTGTTCAAAAATAAAAATCACCACAAGGAAAGAGAAGTGAGAAATGGTACTAATCCCATGTTACCTGGCATTCCCGTACCAACATACGTTTGTGCTGGGCTGAGTTAGTGAAACAGTAGAAACCCAAACGTCAAGGAGAAGTGGGCTGAGGGAGCCCTAAACCACTAGGACAAATCAATTTGTTTTCTTAAACGTAATTATCTGAATGCTGTTATGAAATCAGATCTTAAATGCTATAACTGTTATAGGAGATGAATAAAAATATTGAATGCATAGTAGCATTCAGCCAATACTAGAGGAAGAGAACTAATAATAATACTCAAAAGCTCAATCTTACTGAGGTAAAAACTCAGTACAATTAAAACTGGGAATTTCCATGATCATTATTGTAGAATGTATTTTTACAAAGGACTGTAATTTTCCCTTTAAAAGCTGCTATACACGCACTAAGAGTAGCATCAAGATTTATACAATGCATAAGGTTTGTTCAAGGCACCCACAGAGGGAGAGAGCAAAGTAACAGTGACAATAAGGAGAATATAAACTCTTTGTCACATGAAGGAATGATGTCAAGAGATTTAAATTGGGTGGAAAGAATTTTAATGAAAATAAAAACACATTCACAATAAAAATGTCCTTAAATGAGGCTGCTTTCTGTGTTCAATCTATTAATTTTCTACAATGTTCTGTGTCATCCGAAGACTACAGTAACTTGGGTCACACAGAGTACATTTAACCTGCAGGGTTCCAACAGATGCAAAGTGATGGTGATTATCCACAACTGCTTATGTGATAATGACTGTAGGATCAAGATTCCTCATTAGAATAATATGCCACCCATGTAAGAATGGTTGGTCAACATAGTATTTTACTTTGCTCAGATCTCTTTCTATTTCTTTCACAAAATGGATGAGTCTATAAAGTCCCAGACAATTTTGTTACCTCATTGGTACCATCTGTCACACATGTACCCTTTAGAATGAAACAGAGGTGAAATAGAGGTGCCCATTACCATGGTGGGCTGGCAAAGGGTATATTATTAATAAAAGAGCATTGAATCAACATCAGGTATAGTATATATACATAAATATATATGTACGTGTGTGTGTGCACGTGCTGTGTGCCCAGTTGCTCATTCATGTCTGACTCTGTGATCTCATGAACTACAGGCCACTGGGCTCCTCTGTCCATGAGATTTCACTGACAAGAATAGTGGAGTGGGTTGCCACGCCCTCCTCCAGGGGATCTTCCCAACCCAGGGATCAAACTCGAGTCTCTTGCACCTCCAGCATTGGCAGGCAGGTTCTTTACCACAGAGCCACCTGGGAAGCCCCCACATACGCACAGACACATAGTTGTTGTATAGTCCCAAGTTGCGTCTGACTCTTGTGCAACCCCCGGAACTGTAGCCCACCAGGTTCCTCTGTTCATGGGATTTTCCAGGCAAGAATATTGGAGTGGGTTACCATCTCCTTCTCCATACACACACACACACACACCACTCATTGATGTCTATCACCTGGCTAGACAGTTATGAAATATGGACTGAGTTATTTTAGGCAGGAAAGAAAAAAAGATCTAACTTAGTTCTTTTATCTCCTCTTCACCCATCAAGTCTCAGACCTGGTACCATCTCCTTCAAGAAGCAAACTTCTTCCCCCAGTTTGGACTGGGATCCCCTCCTTTGTACTCTGTAGGGTTGCATGTTTCCCTCATATAATCACAGCACTGAACACTTTGTTTCCTTCAACAGACACAAGAGTTTGATGGGGGCAAGGACTCTGGCATTATTTTTAAACCATAATATTCATATGAACCAGGCCAGGTTCACATTAGAGATTTGGGAAATGTTTACTGAATTGATGAAGAGACCTATCTAGGAAATTATATTCATCCCTTTTTTTATGAGGGGAGAAATTACAGGCCTTGTATGTCCTCATTCTTTCATCTACTGAGTTTCAATGATAAAGTAGAGACTATTCAAAATGCTAGAGATACTTTGATTAAGCAGTAAGGTTAAAAATTTCATTATAATTTAGTAAATGTTGCTAAAAGTAAAAATATTGAGTCAACAAAGGTGGAGAGAGAGTGCCCAGCCTCTCAGAGAAGGTTTCCCTGGAGGTAGCATTTGAGTTGGGTTGTGTGGCTCAGTGGTAAAGAATCTGACTGCCAATGCAGGAGACGAGGGTTCACTCCCTGGGTCGGGAAGATCCCCTGGAGGAGGAAATGGCAACCCACTCCAGTGTTCTTGCCTGGAGAATCCCATGACAGGGGAGCCTGGTGGGCTACAGTCCGTGGGGTCACAAAGAGTAGGAAGCGACCGAGCACGTGCGCGTGTGAAAGATGAGCAAGCACAGAAGGAGGGCAAGCAGGCCTCTGGGCAGAGGATTGAGAAAACACAGCATGTTCAAAAAATGAAAAGGACGGGGGAAAGACTGTGATGGAATTCAAGACTGGCAATACAGAAGCAGCTCACGTGCACGCATGCGCTGTTGCTTCAGTTGTGTCTGACCGCAACCCCACGGACTGTAGCCCACCAGACTCCTCTGTTCATGGGATTCTCCAGGCAAGAATACAGCAGTGTGTTGCCATTTCCTTCTCCAGGGAAATCTGCCCAACCCAGGGACTGAACCCAGGTCCCCCGCACTGCAGGCAGCTTCTTTACCAACTGAGCACCAGGGAAGAAAAAGTCAAATTAAACAAAACACATATTTCCTTTACCTGGGATGCTTACACTCAACTTCTCTGGCAGAAGCTGTCAACTCCTTGGGAAAATAAATTGCATTTTTCTTTGAAGCCTAATATTTAAATAATGATATTCTTACTGTCTTATAGTCATAACAATACAGTAAAAGTAAGTAAATATTGCAAACTGAAGGACTTTCCATACCTGAGACACTTTGCCTGTTGGAATCTGAGTCCCCGTTACTGGAATTAGAATTGTTGGAGGAACTGTTGTCAACCCCTCCCAGAAGGGGGCGCAAGTGGCTTACTGAGACTTGTTCAATGAATGATGTTCCGTACTTGCGAAAATACCACCATTCAAATATCTAGAACAGAAAAATAGAAAGCATGATTACGGTCCTGTTACCAGCTATAATTTTGTACATACTCATAAAACATGTTTTATCTACTAATTATACCCACCTAAAATAGTGGTTTAAACATATTTATTCCTAAAAAATTGTTTAATTCTAAAAATTAAGAAATTTAACAAAAGTAAATACCATTTACATTTTAACTTCTCAGTGTTGTTTTATCCACTCAATATTGGCTTTTAAGGAAAATTTATATACACAGTCACGGTGAAAAAAACTTTGTTAAGAGCTGCTCATTATTACTTTCCTCCAAATTTATATAATATTGATAATAAAATCACCATAGCTGAAAAGAAATTCCAGAAGTAAATACAAAGAAGCTAGTTTTAAAAGTGTGGCTTATGAAATATTCCAGTGTTTGGCATTTTATATTCTGATAAAGTCATACCTGCATTAAGATTTTTAAGACATCAAAATTCCATTTAAAAAAAAAAACAAGCAGCATCTCCTTAGAGAAATCCAGCTCTACAGGAAGAGTAATAGTTATCCCATTTCATGGACCTCTGGCAGCCAACTGCTGTAATGTCTGCCAACTGAAATGTGCTTTATAAACACTAGTATCTATTGTACACCTTTAACATTTGCTAGCTCACAAGCCTACCAATAATGTGCTGTTTGCAAAGAGGAAAAGAAATAACTTTCATTAAAAGAGGAAAGAAACAATGATGCTCACATGACTAGACTGAAATCAGGACTCCTAAGCAAGGGGAAAGCAAGCAACCTCCCCCAACCCCTCCCACCTGCCCCACCTCCCCTTGAACACTTTCCACCACTGTCTGAAGCTGCTCTCCCCACATCCTTTCCTGGCCTCCCTGTCTAATTTTGAATCTGTTTCATAAGCAGTCACAAGTCATTACAGAGAAGAAATTTAAGAATCAACTATATCCCAAAGTCTCCGAGGAACAACTTTTATAAAATAGAATGTGGAAATACATAAAATTAATTACCTCTACCCTTATTTCATAAAAAGAAGATGATGCCTCTCATCCCTTCATTTCAGTCTAAATGCCACCTCCTCAGAGCTCTTTCCTAGTCACCAGATCTACAGTCAGCTTCTCTTGCCTCTCTCAAAGCACCCTGCTTTTCTTCTTGGCAGCATTTATGACGTTTGTTTAATATCTACATGTCCCACTAGAGTAAGAGTTTTGAGAGAGTAGAAAACATGTTTTGCTCATGATTGTATATCCAGGATTTGATAAATACTTAATGAATGAATGCAAAAAACAAGTAATATATAGTCAATGAAGCCAAAAATTTGTTCTTTGAAAAGATCAACAAAAGTGACAAACCTTTAGCTAGACTGGCCTCCCGAAAGAGAGGACTTAGTGTTTTTAATGCATGAAAGAAGAGAAAAGTTAAGTTCTTTGTAATAGACTTTGGGCTATCATTTAAAAATTGGTATTTCTCTATTTTGTTCTACCAAAAATCCCTTTAAAAGACGGAAAGAACATCTACAAATGACCAGAAGGAACTATCAATCAAACCAAATGTTTGCAATCCTATAACAGGACAAGTTGATTTAATGCCAAGGAGTTACCCCTTCTGACTCTATGAATTTTCACATGTTAAGACATTTAAGTAATCTGACTGGACAGACAAGGAGAATATGATGTAAAAGGGATAGGACTAGTCTATAATGTAGGAACAGGAGGAATAAGAGATGTTGTTTGAAGAAAGAACAGCATTCAAGAATGGTAAGTTTACAAACCATAGATCCAGAAGGGAGTTTGTAACCTCAAGTGAGTTATTTTATCTATTTTAATATCAGTTTCTTCAACTATAAAGTGTAAATCACATTTGTTATTTATCCTTGAGTGTCCTTAATTTCACACTCATTGAAATCATGCAGATTCAAATCCCATGTAAAAGACTTAGTTCAGTGCTTGCTGCATAGCTGGTTCTCAAAAGAACAGCAAAGCTATTATTTATCACACTAGTGCTGTGCATACCTCCCCTAGGCAGCACAGCTCACATACCCCTCTTGTTACTCGACAGTTCAGGCTAATACAGCGTATTGTCTGTTACTAAATGGTTGGCTGAAAGGCCTGGTAATCATTGTGAAAAAGGAGGCTGCTCACCAATTGGTCCTGACCACCCAAAAAAAAAAAAAAAAAAAGATTTTTGGCTTTGTCTTTATTGCAGAGAAGGAAGGCTCCAAAGGACCCAGAACAACAGTCACAGAACTGGCAATGGCTCTCAATCACTTGTGGGAAAGAGCTTTCTTTGCCCCAAGACTCTGCTTTTTATATTCTGCTGCTTGGGCACCTGCCAGGCCTTCACTGATTCAGCAGCACAGCACTGAACACTCCGTAACAAGCATAGGCTGTGCTCCGGGGTCACAGAGCACAGACAGGGCCCCTGACACTACCGATCCATGCCACAGGCCCACAATGCCTCTCACACACACACACAAAACCTCACTTTGGGACTCTCTAGGATTTCTCAGTTTATCTAGTTGAATCAGAGAACCCCAGCACTAAAAGGAACCCTCAAGGCCCATGAACTGTTTCATTTAGAATGCATGAGGGCTACATGTTAAGGTTGTCCAAAGTCACAAAGCTAACTCAGTCGCTATTTAACCTGAAGCCTCAGTTCTTGTGCCACTAATCTTACTAGGGCCCTAAAACAAGACATCTTTTTATAAATCTCTTGCTCATTTTAACAGATTTTACCTGTCATTTTCCTTTTCAAATCTTCATTTCCAAATGCCCTCCTATTCTACTGTCTCTTTGCCTTCTTAGCTATCAAATGTAATCCAGAAGTCTATCAAATGGGACTGGATAATACATCCCAAGGTATAAATGCTTCATATTAATGGGAGTATTTGCATTATAATAGGAGACAGACCTTCCAGCCAGTATTTCTAATGCAAAAATAATAGACATTAGTGAAGACTGGGTTATTCATGCAGCTGTTTGGAAGGCAAAGGAGGGTCTTCTCAAGCCTGTCCTATTACAGCTGTAGATGTAGCTTCTTACCCAGTACAGACTTTTACACTGGTGCCTACAGTACCATGGGGCAGGTACTCCAATATGAATTAAAAGAACAGCTACCAAAAGGAAGTGGGACAGAATTTAAAGGCTTCTTACACTTCAAACCAAAACCTCTAATCTGGGGTCTTAGCACCAATGATCTGTCCGATATCCTGAAACACAGCAGGCTTGGGCCAGAACCTCACAGTATTTTTAAAAAGTTGCACAGATCCAAATGGGCAGATGGTGTTATTTAACATGCACATATCTGGTGTCACTTTGAATTATTCTCCCTGGTGCATAACCTACAGTGTAAACAGCAAAGCTCTCATAAACAAATTTAGATTTTAAAATTAGCCCTTAGACATGCTAGAGCCTTAATGGAATTGCCATTGTGGAACAAAACAGTTTTTAAATCTGACAAATAAACATAAAATTAAAATATAAATTTACACATTTTATAGTCTTTTAAAATGCAATCTGTCTACACCAAGAACTATACAGATCAAGTAAGATGAGAACTGAAAAGCACCAATTAGATTTGTCATTTGGGAAGTCAATACGACCTTACCATCCTGCTGAAAGGTAAAGGCCCTAATATATTGCAAGACGCCAAGTTGTGTGCCTTAGTTGGTACTCTTGATTCTCTGGGGCTTAGTAATATAATGTGTAAAATAAAGTCACTCAGTTAATGTTGGATGGATGGATGGATGGTTGAAAACTGAATGGAGAGACGGCTGAAAGGTTGAACGGATGGATGATAAGGGTTGGTCTGGTGACTTGTCTAAATAAAGAGCAGGACCAATGAGAGATTTTGTGTTCATTCTGTTAGTTATAAAAAAGAGAGACCTACACATATTTGTTGGAAAGGAAAGAATCAAGTGGAACGAAAGGAACTGAAGTGCAAAAGAGTACAAGTGACCAAAAGGCAGGACACCAAGAGCCCAGGAAGAACATTTACCCTGCCTCAGAAAGGTAACTTGCCATTTCTTCCTCTAAGACAGGATGAATGGGCAGCATGAGTGCACAGACACATCTTATTTGGGAAGCAGAGCATGAGATGAGCCATCTCACAGGGAAGAAGGCAGCAAACGGATGAAAAGTAAGTGGCAGTGATCTTAGTAGAGGTGCAGGTAAGGGTTATCTGAGAATAAGGGAAGCGAGGGTGGAATTGGGAATGTGAGGATTAAAGCAATGGTTTGGATCTATACCTTGTAGGACCAAAGGGCCATTGCTATATTCAGGACCCAGATCACACTTAAAACAAAGACTCATTTGTCAGGAACCCAGTTCTCTACGCCTTGTAACATTCTCCATTACTATCGCATCAAGGAGCCCTGCAACTGCAGGCTAGTGGAGATTCAGGTTTGCAGTTGGCCTAAGATGCAAATACCTCATTTTCACCTGCAAGGAAGGAACAAAAGTCTGGCAAAGAGTAAACAAATAAGGCCCTTTCATCTGTCTTGCAGACCTAAAAGCTGAATCTTTCCTAAAGATGCCTAGATTCTTCCTATCCATTAAGACCTTCCCTTCTTGAATTGCATGTTTTGCATATATAACACTTCTTTCTCTTCACTTAGTGGGACTTTCCTATCTTACTCAAAAATGCTTAAAGAAAATTTTTTTTTTAAGTGCTTCAAGATTTCCACAGAGAAGCACCATGATGATTCCACACCAATTCCATTAAACCCATGGGAAACACAAAGATGTCACAGACTGAAATTGACTATGTGTTTCCCAAGGATTAAAGTAGATGGTGATATCACAGGATAGATACAGCTATGGTAGAGACTGAAGAGGAAATATGAAACTCTGGCAGTCTACTCTCAAATAGACTGCAAAATTGACACCTGCTCTAAGTCTTCAGAAATACATCTGGTGGTAAACAGATTTTTGGCAAGAGGTAATCTTCTAGGCTTAAAGAAGATAAACCAAGGCAGTTGGCATGTGTTATAGTAATATCCAAAACCTTTTTAGAAG